TGGTGGAGCCTCCTGCCATGGTGCTGCTTGACTGTCATTGCTAAAATCACTGATATTGTTTTTATTATTAATATTATTATTACTACAGTTACTATTATATTAGGAAGAGAGGAGCTCAGTGCATCATGGGAAATCCCCCGATAGTCTAGACTCTAGACCTATAGCAGCATATATATAATATTATACATAAATATAAACTACTGATAAACTAAATATAAACTACTGATAAACTAAATATAAAACAAATCAGTATGTTGTTGTTGTTAGCGATGTGAACACTGCTGTAAATAACACCTGTCTGTCTGTCTCTAGGCGTTTCAATCAGAACCTTGTGGCTCAACTCTGGTATTTTGTCAAGTGCGTTTACTTTGGTCTGTCGGCATATCAGATTCGATCTGGTTACCCAACACGAGTTCTGGGAAACTTCCTGACGAAGAGTTACAACTACCTCAACCTCTTCCTGTTCCAGGGGTGAGTCCAACACTGACCCTGTTAGCCTAGCTTAGCACAAAGACTGCAAAAAGGGTAAAAATACGCAGCCTGCCACAGGCCTGATGTCCCCAGACATTACTGTGACACATTACCTCTGGCTGTCTGTCTCTCTACCTGTCTGCTTGTAGCTTCCGTCTGGTTCCCTTCCTGACGGAGCTGAGGGCGGTGATGGACTGGGTGTGGACGGACACCACTCTGTCTCTGTCCTCCTGGATCTGTGTGGAGGACGTTTATGCCCACTGCTTTGTCTTAAAGTGCTGGAGGGAGTCTGAAAAGGTTTGTCTCCGTCTGTCTTTGTGTTTGTTTATGTGTTTGTATATATTTATCTACTTGTGAGTATTTGTGTGTATTTGTGTGTATTTGTACACAGAGGTACCCTCAGCCTCGCGGCCAGAAAAAGAAGCGGGTGGTGAAGTACGGGATGGGGGGGCTTATTGTTCTGCTGCTCATCTGTATCGTCTGGTTCCCGCTGCTCTTCATGTCGCTCATCAAATCTGTGGCTGGAGTCGTGAACCGACCGCTCGACGTCTCTCTGACCATTACGCTGGGAGGCTTCCAGGTAACCTCACCTGCACCGACTCACCTGTATGACTCACCTGTACCTGTATAGCAGCAGCAGGAGCATTAGCAGCACTGTGACGTGTTGTTGTTGTTGACAGCCGATCTTCACGATGAGCGCTCAGCAGAATCAGCTCAAAGATCTGACTGAGGAAGACTTCAGCTCCTTCATCAGCTCCTACAGCTACACGCCTGTGAGTTCTGTGCAGTACTAGTACACACACTGCTTGCAGTACTGCTTCTACAGCTTGTAACTCTATGTTCTGTGTTTCCCAGAGTGCCTTGCAGTTCCTAGAGGCATATAGTTGTGAGGATGTCACGGTGGCTGAGCTGCAGGGCAGCAGTAACTCTCTGTGGACCATCAGTCCTCCCAGCAGGCAGTACCTGAGTCAGGTCCTCAACCTGGACCACTTCCCCCTCACTGTGTCCTGGACTGTTCAAAGGTCTGCTCCACTCCACTGATCAATAGTCAATACTAGTGGCAGTAATAGTACTCATGGTAGTGGTAAGAGTAGTAGTTCAAATACTTCTAATTATTATTGCAGTCAGTGGAGCTCCCCCTGCTGGCCTTTACATAGAATGCAGGTTTTAAGACGCTTCACTTTTCAGTCCCGGAAGCTCTGTCAATTATATACTGTCAATGGTTTGAACCCCCTGGTTTCTAATGTTTTTACATAGCTGAAAAAAATCTCCATGTCCACAAGCATGATTTGGTCTATTTTGTAGCAAAATTTCTATATGTCAATTTATAAATTCATATCCTGACTGGTGCTGAATATCTCTTTAATCTCCCATTCTCCCTTCCTTAATTCCCGTCTGCCTTCGCTCTCTGCTCCTGACTCTATTTCTCACAACTATTCAATAAAAGCTGATTGCTCCACAGATAATCACTGAACAATTGTACCAGTTTATGAGTGAGAAAGTTTAAAGTTAAGTTTTCCCTGAGAGTAATGACTCGCTTCTGTCTTCTTTCTCTTCCCCTTTCTATGTGAAATTGGAGTTTATTGGTAGCAAGACCCAGTCCGTTCCTGGGGCTGTGGTCTACCCCTCAGCTCTGGGGAATACATTAGTCTGTCTACAGCAGCTGGAACTTCAGAGGGGAAGGGAAGGGGGGAAATTGCTGTACTCACTTGTTCCTGTGTATTGAGTGTGGGGGGAAAAGAGAAAGCAAGAGGGACAGAGAAAGAGGGAGCGATGTGGTCAAGGCCTGGAAAATGGATCCATGTGTCTGGAGGACTATGTGGCTCTAATAGGCTAATGAGTGCACTGTGTGATGTGGCAACGACGCAATGAAGATAGAGCTCATTGTGCTTTAGGTTTTAAAAGGCCTCTCATTAACCTTATTCTCTCACTCTGAACTTGGACAGGTTCACATTCACTTGGAAGTGTTTACAATGAATTGGACACATTCAGATTTACCTGTAAGGACTAAGTCTGACTTGAAAGCTTGCGAACTTGGAAGGATACCTATTTAATCATCTTGACTTATATTGACCCCCACAGACTTGGAAGCAACCATACTGTCTTGGAATCACTTCAGAACGCTCAGTGTACTCTGCTGGGAATTTTCCATATCATTCCAGATCATTTTATTGCGGGGCC